CAAGCTTGTTCTGCAAAAAGAACAGACAACTTGGGGTGTAAACAAAAAAAAAAACTAAATAAAAATATATTACACACACACACACACACTTTTTTTTTTGTTTGTTTTGTTTTTGGGTTTTTTGTTGTATTTTTTTTTTGTTCACACCCCAAGTTGTCTGTTCTTCTTGCAGAACAAGCTTCCAGTTTTGTTGTTGGGCCATTCCTCAGACCTGAGACCGGGGGAGTTTGTGGTTGCCATTGGCAGCCCGTTTTCCCTCCAGAACACCGTAACTACAGGAATCGTCAGCACCACTCAGAGAGGAGGCCGCGAGCTCGGCCTTCGCAACTCGGACATGGACTACATTCAGACCGATGCCATTATTAATGTAAATAAAAATGTGCATTGCCTTTGTTTACTTTGTCTACTAAACATATATAATACGTAAGGTGTCATTTTGGTTCACAGTATGGCAACTCTGGAGGGCCTCTAGTTAATCTGGTAAGCTGTTTTTTATTTTATTTTAGGAGCCAACATTTTATTGTTCCTTGAATTAAAACATCCAGCAAATGGACGTTTATTTGATATTTCCTGCTTTTTTTTTTTTAGGATGGCGAAGTGATTGGGATCAATACGTTGAAAGTGACAGCAGGAATTTCATTTGCCATTCCCTCAGACAAGATTCGACAGTTTTTAGCCGAGTCTTACGACCGACAGTCCAGAGGTATGAAGCTTTCCTGACACAACTTTTCACAGTTTCATTGCTTCTCTTCAGTCACTGTCATAGAAAATAAGAGCTCCAATGTTTTGCAACTTTTTACTTCATTGTATTTGTGTTCCCTTGAGGCAATTTTTTCTATCTTTTTAAATAAAAAACATTTAGACTTTTTCTCCTAATTCTTTATAACACAGTCAAACACTTGGGGTTGGTTAAGTAGATGTTTCTTACTATTTTCCACATCCCAGAAACATCATCTTGCACTCTTACTCTACTTTGTACGATCACTTTGGCACCAAGCTCCCAGACACGATCAGGATGCAGTTATGCTTTAGAAAGTCAGCACAATGCTGCTGTCACAACTATTACAGCTGTTTCCATGACTTTGCCACAATCATGAGCATGCTCTAGACATGATGCCGATGTGGCAAGCCTTAGCATTAGTCTGTTGCAAATTCTCCATGACCAAGACACACTGGTGCACACAAGCCCTACATCCTAGATACACCACTGTTACCACCACACTCAACCCAGGATCTAGATATGGGGCCACCGTGATGACAAACTACTATGACCTTATGCTCAAAACCATTGTGGACCTGCATGCTCTATCATACATAATGGGAGAGCTCACTGTATTTTTAATACAGTACTCACCCAAAGGCATTGCCAACACCCTGCAAAAACCATTCACATCCTGGCTGATGCTAAATTCATCCGAGTGAATGAATGGTTGATCGTCTTGTTTGTCCTTATGTGACCCAGTGAAGGACTTGTCCTGTTAAGTGTGTCCAAAAAGGATGGATGGATGGATGGATGGATGGATGGATGGATGGATGGATGGATGGATGGATGGAGTCATCATCCAGTGTGACGGAGGCCTTAATGTGATCAAAGGGCAACAAGAAACAGCAGAAAGAAAATGCATAACTGTCTCACAGTTTAAGTTTAATGATTAAACCAGTCCATGCAGACAGACATATATTAAACATTTGTATGTGTATGTGACTTGAAGTCATGATATAAACATTTTGTGCAAGATGATAAATGATGATTCAGGAACCTTGATATTTGTTGCTCGCCTTCTGTGTCACTACTTTTTAGGGCGAACGGACACAAAGAAGAAGTATATTGGTGTGAGAATGATGACTCTCACTCCGACGTAAGTTGCCTCTGTTGTCAGCTGTGCATTTGGTACATAAATAAATATATTTTTCATGCTGGGACACTAGAGAATTGCATCATGTATGTGATTTATTTTGTGAAACTTCAAATGATTGAATGACTGGTTTAAGTTTATTCCCCTCCTCTTTTGACTTTCCAGGTTAGCCAAAGAGCTGAAGACTCGGCATCGTGACTTCCCGGACATCACCTCAGGAGCTTATGTTATGGAGGTTATAGCAAAGACACCAGCTGCAACGTAAGAAAACAACTGTCATAATACGAATTCTAAAAAAAAAACCCCATAATTAAATAAATCTTAAATTTTAGATTTTCTGCGAGATGCAAACAAAAATTGAGCCTAACTCACTTCAAATTGTGGGTTTCTTTGACCCATCCAATACACGTGTACTGGTACTTAAATCAGTAATTTAGTTACTTTCCTCGCTGCCACCGTCAGTAATAGATGCAGCATTTCCTCTCTTAACTTACCGTAATTTCCGGACTATTGAGCGCACCTGAATATAAGCCGCACCCACTAAATTTAAAAAGGAAAAAAAATTGTACATACTGTATATAAGCTGCACTTGTGTACAAGCGGGGGGTGTCCACATTGTAACATGAAATATTTACACAGCAAGATTTTTAAAAACTTTTAATTAAATACCGGTAACAAACACAAATACGTACAGTATTACGTACAAAGTTTCTTCCCCTCTCTAGTAGACTAATGAAACCCAAGTTTCATTTGTTCACTGTGACCTGTTAGGTAATTCCATTGGTCAGTTTTATTTTTTTTTATTTTACTTTTATTTATACAGTTAGTCTCATTGAGTCACGAGGACCCTCCCCCCTAGAGAAACGTGTATTGGGCAGCTGTGTGAGCACCCGGGTGTGATGAAACAAAATGTTATGGTCGCATGAAGCTCATTAGCCCGTCAAAAAAAAAAAAAAAATCCATAAACTAGCTGCAGCAATGTATAAACCGCAGTGTTCAAAGCGCGCGGAAAAAGTAGCGGCTTATATTCGGGAAATTACTGTATTTACTCTAGTTTAACTTAAAAGTATGTAATCACACATGCATCCTCCTACCCAACTGACCTACTAGGGCAGGGATATTCACATAAACTGATCATGGGGACACATTTACTGAAAGCCAAGAACCCAGGGGTCGGACATCCAGCAGTTATTGTCATTAATTAAGTTTGTTTTATAGTTTTAAATCATGTTTTATTAAAAAAATTAACCCATTGGTGGACCAAACTGAGCTCACCTGTAGGCCTGATTTGGCCCCTGGACTGCCATTTGAATAGCCCTGTACTAGGATGTAAACTGATGGCTAACATGCCTGAAGTGCTATATAATACTCGCCTCCTCCTACACTGGCATCAGCCATCATTGCAGCTCCAGAGGAGTGGAGGCTCAGGAGACGCTGAGGTCAGCCGTTTCCTTCAAACCTCATGCAGGGAGGTGACTAGCTGCGCTGTGGTTTCCTGTGCCTGCTCACTTTTTGTCTCTCTCCTACAAGGCCCCATCAGAGATTACTCACCACTTAACTCAAAACATTTCTGTGGTTCCTTTCATATTTGGTGTTCATTTCTTGGTTCTGTTGTGTGCTCTTGATCATGGTCCGACTTGTGTTGGTTTATGGCTTTTTGCAAGTCTTTGCTGTGATGTAAGGAGCCTGATATTTGCTGTGCCGAGTGTGTTAGGGGCAGCTGAGAGCAATGAGAGCAATGCGTGATTGCTGTTGTTAATGGATGCTGTAGAAGTGAATGTGTGGTGTTTACATGTGGTTGTAATTAAGAAGCTGTTTGAAGTCGGTTTTACTATCGACGCTGATCTGTTCTTTTATTACGGCAAAACATTTGGCCAACACGTTTAGTTACTGAAACATGATATGCTTTTAATGAATACATTATTATTGCTTGATTAAAACCATCATGTTGTGTTGATGACGGTAGTAGAGACATGTGTGCAGTATTAAATTAGACTATTTTAAATAGAAAAAGCTATAATAAAAAATGTTTGTTATATTTTTAGAGAAAGAAACAGAAATGGTCTTAAAAGCAAAATAAAAAAGTTAGATTTTAAGGTTTTATTTAAAAAAAAAAAAAGGAAAATTCTGTAATTTTAACTTCTCTATTTTTTCTAAGGTGATCAGCACATCACATATTTTTTAATGCAATCAAGATTTAAGCTTTTACAAGCTTTAATTCATGAAGAAAGTTAAGTTTAATTAAAGTTTATAAATTTTCCTGGGTACCACTTTACAATCAGACTCCCCTTATAA